TTTCTAAGTTTGTTAGAGTTGAAAGCGACAAAAGGCGACTTTGAGCAACCAAATATGCTTGTAAATAAACCAAGGATAAAGACAAGCAAATGGCAATTCATCTGCCATGTAAGTACACCACAAGCTAAGGTGACAACAGAGTGTGTAATCTATACATGAAATACTAATTTGGAATTTAGTATGACACAACATGACCTTCTGAACTCCTTAAGGGGGACGTGGAAGCAATGTTGCAAGCACGTATCATGGTCACTGAAGACAGACAAGTGCGCAGTACCCAGGGTACTCGCCAAAAATGCCCTCTTCTACTATCAGCTGGGCATGGGGCATCAGGAAGGAGAGAGAGAGAAAAAAAAACAGGCGGAAGACTTTTTCGCTTCATGCCTCTTCAGGACCTGCTAGCTGAGGATACAGTGTTATTTGTGAATGGCTATATGTTTGTTGTTTATGAATGACTTCATTGGCAAATCACGGGATATGTTGATTGCACGTAAGCCTCTCTTAGTAAGTTACTAGGATATACTTATGTTCGTGTAAGCCTGGGGTATAATGATATTTTTTTACGAACTATTCGCCAAAGCTCACCTTTTTCACATAAAGCAAAATTGAAATAATCATATTATTTCATAAAGAAGAGAAGGGGGGGAAGGGAGTAAATGAAACACGGAGATACAGTCGCCCTTTTTTCCAACTTGAAAACTTATTCAAATACCGAAATTCTCCATAACTTTTAATGCTTAACGAACACCTGGAAATGTATGTTTTTGTTAATAATCTAAAGGCATCTTTTCTAGAACATGTTGGGAAATATTAGGAGGAATAACAGGCAATGGAATTGAATCTAAAACCAGTGGTCTTTATCGTGCGACTCGCGGGAAGATGAAAGCAGAGACTTATAATAAAGATAATAGGCACTATAATAAGATTGTAAGATAAAGCTATTGGATAAGATAGTGGGGTCAGATGCTTATAAGATACATATATAATATGATAAGAAGATTATGATATGATAAGAAGATAAGTTAATAAGTCTATCTTACCAATCTCCTCCCCCCCCCCTTTTTCCCTTTCGCCACCCCACCCGAAAACAAAAAAATACAACAGAAATCATAATATAGAAATAGAAAAAAACTCAAATTGTGAAACTGTTCGGCTGGATTTCAAGAAAATGAAACACTTCAATCCTTTTATAATTATTAATGTTATCAAAATCATTGTCACCATTATTACCATTATTTTATACTTATTTGCCGCAGTCCCTAGTATCTTTTTTATGTGATTGGACTCGCAACTGTAAAAAAAAAAGAAAAAAAAATGCTATCACAAAAAAGAAAAAATAACGATTATCGAACTATGGATATTTATGGCTGACTCTGTAGTCATTTTTGGCAAGAAATGGCTCGCCTTGAAACAAGTGAAGACCACTGAGCTACAATAAAAAAGAAAGAAAAACAAACAAACTAGAGGATGAATACGAAATTTCTAGAAAAAAACGACAGAATATTCATGAGAAAATCAAAGTTCAATAGGCCTACTTATCGTTAGAAAGTTCGAAAATATGTACAATATCATTATGCAGATATCTTATTAATAAATTATTCATCTATTTAATTTTTTGCGGGGCTAACTTCAAAGTTAGCGTAGGATCTTAATTAATTCACCTAATTATTTCATCCACACATAGGGTTTCGTGAAAAAAAACTTTCCCCGAGTTCAATCCACAAAAAACGTGCAACTATAACCCTCCAGTTATCATATGAAATTTATACATGGTCAATTTACAAAATGGGAGGGGGGGGTGGGGGGTTGAGCGGGCAAGTTCTATCGCGCACAGAAAATCAGGCAGCATTAAAACAGCCAGGTACAGACTTGGACATTGGAGACCTCTTGTAAATTGAAAATTAAGATTTAAAAACATTAAGACTCGAAAACTTAATATATTTTAATCTATGAAGCATAAACAAACATCTATGCATGAAATCAACAATAAATTCAAAAAGGTTGCTAAAATTTGGAGATACCTGGAATTGCGAGGGAAAAAAATGCTAATGCTTATTTCCATACGTGCAAACCTTGATATTTCCTACCTAGATAAACTTATAAAATGTATTACAGTATTACGCTTTATCCCGCCTAATAATATTACACAAAGTCTCACAAACCTTTCCTTACAAGCTTAAACAATTTCATTTTGTCGTCAGTCTGTATCTCTCCCTATGAGAAAGTCAGTAGAAAATGATTAAATTAATAAATAATCAAATAAATGGCGGGCTCTGGAATGTACAACCATACTATTGCTAAAAGAATCGAGAGAAAAATACTCAGAGTCTCACAAAGGTCTAACCGAGGTACTTTAACACAGGTAGCCTACACTCTGCCATAGTGAAAATCCTAGTTGGCAACTTCTGAACCCGCCCATTTTCCTTTATTCATTTCAAATATCAAATATTCTTTTTATTTCTCTTTCATTTTCTTGGTTTCTTTTTCGATATCTTTTCTACCATTGTTATTACTGAATCATTTTTGAGGAAAATACAAAGGAAAAAATTTCCATAACATTTAAGAGACTGACAGGGTAAAAACGGGTAGAGTTCCTTATCATTAACAATCATTAGAATACTCTTGGGAAAAAGGTAAATTTCAATTTAGGGTCCAAAAGGCTAAATGGAACTGGAACTACCTGATCATATGTACCTTGGGTCTACCACACTTACATGTTGTCAGTGATGATGATAATAATAATAATAACAATAATATTAATAATAATAATAACAATAATATTAATAATGATAATAATAATAACAATAACATTAATGATAATAATAATAATAATAATAACAATAATATTAATAATAATAATATTATTAATAATAATAATAACAATAATATTAATAATAATAATATTATTAATAATAATAATAACAATAATATTAATAATAATAATATTATTAATAATAATAATAACAATAATATTAATAATAACAACAATAATAATAAAACAAATGCTATAAATCTTCTAACAATTACAGCATCTCATAGTGGGATTCACTCTCTCTCTCTATTTATCTTTCTGTCTCTCTTCCATCTACCTATTTATCCCTCTACCCATCTACTGTCTATTTATCGATTCATTTTTCCTCCTCACCTGCCACGCTGCCCACCTGATGCCGTTCTTCCCACGCTGGTGTCAGTCACTCCACCTCCACCACCTCCTCTTCCTCCTCCACCTCCACCTCCACCTACTCCTCCTTCACCTCCACCACCACCTCCTCCTCCTCCTCTTCCTTCTCCATCACCAGCACGACCACCTACTCCTCCTCCTCTTCCTCCTCCACCTCCACCTACTCCTCCTCCACCACCACCATCTCCTCCTCTTCCTTTTCCCCCTACCCCTCCTCCACCTCCTGACCCTCCACCTACACCACCTCCTCCTCCTCCTCCTCCTCTACTTCCCGCCCGCCCTCGCTACTTATTCCTTTACGCCCCCCCCCCTTTCTCTCTCTCTCTTCCTTTTTTATTCTTTTTTTTTGGGGGGGTCCTTATGCCCTGCGCTTAGACGGTTGCACCCCCCCCCCCCACTGATGCTGCCCTCCCTCTCGATTATGTGCCCCACAGTGCTATATTTTCTATTTCCTTCCTTCCCTTACTCTTGCCGCCTCCCCCTTCCTCTCCACAATGCCCATATTCCTTCTTTCTCTGATTTATTTTGCCACTTTGTTCATAGTACCCCATACCCCCTTCCACCCTGCCCACGTCCCATACCCTGTTCCATTCTGCCCATGATCTATACCCCTCGTCCACTCTGCCTAAAACCCACACCCCCTCTCCTACTCTGCCAACATCCCCATACCCCCCCTCTTCCACTCTGCTCACAACCCATACCCTTTTCCAGTGTACCCACCTACCCCTCAGATTCTGCCCACCCACCATATACCCTCTTCTACCCCTTCCTCCTACCCAACCCCCCTCCCCCTTGCTCCTGTCTCTGACACACAATGAATCATGACGTCATTTCCTCCACGTAACAGTGTTGCCAGACACCCCAATTTCGTCGTCTCCTGAAATATCCCTTTCTCTATATTTTTCCCTTTCTTCTGTTGTGTATAAAAAGGTCCAAATGCGAATTCAAGAAAACGAAAACGACACACAACCATCAACACAAAAACGTGGCATCATATCAAAGAGAGAGAAAGGTCGCGAAAATGTTCCTTGACCTGACACCGACAACTTGGGGCACAACCGACACGTGACTCGGCGCTGCTCTCGTCTGTATGAACGTCGATCATAATTATCTGTCTTATGTCGCCTTCCTGTGTTCACCGCCTCCACAAGAACTGAAAGAACGGAGGCAAAGACGGCTTTTGATTCGCTTTCGTTATGTTTCATTTTTTTTCTTATTTGTGTATTTATTTATTTTTAATTTTATCTTTCGTTTGTTTTGGTTCCTGTTGGTGTTTCGTGATTCATAGTGATTCGTAAATTGAGCGATACTCGATTCCGCTGTGAGATTGAATTCTTTGTGTATTCGTGACAATATCTTCAGCAAATGCCTAACTTAGAATCGAACGCACTTTCAACCATTATTTGCTAACAAAACTTATTCATTCATCTCGCACTCACTTACCATTCACTACAAATCATGTATTTAAACGTAAATATTCATATCATATACTCTCCTTTCTTAAATATAGCAAACTATTCTTTTTCCAAAAGCAAATGAATAAACAGACATATATGAGAATAAAATCATAAGTTTGCAGTTACAAATCACCTCCCTTTTTCAGATACAAAAATTGGTTGAAAAAAAAACTTGGTCTATCAAATACAAGCACTTCACGTATTACGTAACTAACTTTCTTCCTATACATCTAATGTAACCCCAACTCCATAGCACGACTGATATTTGGAAGTTTAGTGTTATTCACACGCCATTTAAGGAAATATCAAGCAATGTTTCTTACTATGAGGCTATAAAAATAATAACAGAAGCTTTTACTCACGGTTCATCGATCAGCAGGCGTCCAAGGTTTTGTCTTTCGTTTTAATTGTGGACGTTGATGGTCTCTCTCTCTCTCTCACTCTCACTCTCTCTCTGTCTCTCTCTCACTCTCTGTCTCTGTCTCTCTCTCTAACTGCTTGTCTGTCTGTTACACACAGACACACACACATACACGCACGAAAACACAAACACACACACATCACGCAATTAACGTACTTGCACCCATCATTGCACAAACGCACATTGCTTTAATATCATCTAAATGGAAGCAGCAATTGCATCAGCTCCCCCCCCCCCCCTCCAATTTCCCACCACTACCCCACCCATTTGATTATCCATAAGGGCGATGCATTTGCTTGTTTCTGCATAGCAATCACCCTTAAGAATTCACTTACGTATAGTTTCGTCATGTTACACTGATATCTTACGAATGGCACTTCGATCTCATTTTCTCCAGAGCGAATAGAGTGCCACTATCTATCGGAATAATTGAATAATTAATTTAGGTTCCGATTAAAATTAACTCTTCCGATATGGAACGATATTATCCATTCCCAAGCGAGTCCTTTTCTCGCGCGTAGGAATCGCTTAGGATGAAAAACGAGTGATTTATGTCACCAAAAAAACGAAGCTCACGTTCGGTATTGCTGTCCATCCACTGTACCAAACATACACTGATTGAACACTGCCGCTGCCCCTTCGACTGATCCACTCACAGAAAACGTGATGAGGTTACATGGGGAGGGGGAACTACATGAGAGGTTTGGGTATGGTTTGAGTGGTAGGTGGGTGGGTAGCAGGAAGCCCTTTCTTCAAGTGGGGTATTTTCCCCGTATTTTTAATTTTTATGCCTGGGCAAGATTACATGGCATTTTATCTTACTAGTGTCCATTTTTTTCTTATCTCGGTGGTCCATATCAGGCAGTAATCAGTGAAAGGGCCTCAGGATGTACAACCTCCAGGGCACACTCAGGCACTAACACACACACACACACACACACACACACACACACACACACACACACACACACACACACACACACACACACACACACACACACACACACACACACACATATGAACTAAGGCAAACAACACAATAAAAGCATACTTTTCTTAAATTTCATCTGTTAATGTTTAAGGTTTCTTGAAAATAATGTTCTATCACATGATAATTGAACTAATAACTTACCAACTAAATATATATTTCCTCAACACTATAACTGTGTAACTTACATATAGTTCCAAGAAAACTGAAAGTTGCATGTGAAAATGTACATATAAAATTGAATACTATATAAATCAAATTACTATTTGTATAAATTTTAGAGTCCATTTTCTAGCTTCTTAATAATATGATATCCTCACAAACTGTAATATTCAATGTTTTTTTAAACCCTAATAATCACAGATATTTTAGTATGTATCAAAAGAAATCACTGTATAATTTTCCCGTAATGAGCAGCATGACATAATTTGTGTAAATGTCTGAGGATTATCCATAGTCATTTAAACAGGATTACAATAGAAATAAAATTCACATGTATATTTTATTGGAAAATTTGCATTATTACAAAAGAAATGCTACAACTATGCGTTTCTCTTGAACACATTTATGAGATCCACTTAATACAGTATCACTGATACACACCTCACACTTACATCTCTTCAAATCAAAATGCTAGCAAGACATATAAAAGAAAATACCTTCCACACACAAAATTGGCATATTATTCCTGCTGAAACTAGTTTACACAAGGTTTAAATATCGACCACATTTTTTGAATAGTGTTATCTGACAAAAATGCATACACAGATTCGTATCCTTGCAAGACTTGAAACGTATTATTAAAAAATTGCATTATTACAAAAGACATGCTATAACTATCCATTTTCCTGATGAACACATTTAAGTTCACTTAAAAATGTGATCTATCTTACCACAAAAACACCGGTTCATGCTGCTCAAACTAATTAACACACAGCACTAATATGCACCTGGCTTGTTAATAATGACAACTGCCAAAAATGCAGACAAGGTGAAATCCCTGAAACAAGTGCAACAGCTATAAGGACCACCTCGAGGCTTAACACGCATGTTTGCCACAAAAGCAGATACAACAAGGCTAGCACGAAAGGTGCACTAAATATTACGGGCAGTAGTACTGATATAATTCTGTCTGTTCTGTTACTCGTCTTCCTCATAAAAATAAGTACTAATTTTGTGCCCCAGAGGACAGGAGAAGAAACACTTCTGCTACTTTCCAGCAAGATAAGGCAGGACCAACTTACCACAGCATCATTGCTACACAATTCACAAACTTACTTCTCTTCAAATGGAAATGCTAGCAAGACATATAAAAGAAAATATCTTCCACATACAAAAAGTGGCATCTTGTCCAAGTTGAAACTAGTTTACCCACAGCACTAATATCCACCAGATTTGTTAATAGTGACAATTGCCAAAAATGCAAACACAAGTTCGAATCCCTGAAACACAA